ATGTATTTTCCTTAGCAACGGTTACCATGGAAACATGATATGAATTTCTGAGGCCCTGAAAATGAACAATTTTCCACCGATAAAAATTTTCTTCACATTTTACTTATGATATGCACTACATTTTACTGGGAAAGCAGCCCAGTGCCTCCTTAGCAACGGCCCTAGCAACGGTTTCCCCACAGAAGGCCTGTGGGGATAGGAACTTTTAGATACTCATATCTCCAGATTGGATAGATGGATTTTTACGATTTAAAGCTTAAAATGTAGGGAAAAGTGTAACAAATCAGATGAATTAATGAACCAGGCTCAAAAATGCAATCTGTATATTTGACAGGGTTTGAAAAGTAAACATTCCATTTTTTTACCAATTTTTACCGAAAAATCGAATTTCAAAAGCTCATAACTTCTCTTAGAAATGACATATCGGAACAAAATTGACATTTTTGTAATCCTTTGTTCCAGTTTTATCTGGCCACCAAGTAACGTTGGAAAATATCGATATTTGATTATTTGACACTCCCCTTTGCATTATAAGTAGGAAAGGAAATGGTCCCCATAGGGTCAAAGTTCAAGGTCAGATAACAAGGTCAAAGCTGGGCACTCAACATGGTTATCATACATTTTCAAAAAGCTTGTGGGGAGGACTATCACATGAAGGCATTCGCGTTTTGTCCCTTGATTTGGTAACAAAATCTTGTCTGGCCCATGGACTAAAAGAGTAGAAATTAGCCAAATAGAGAGATAACATGCTGAGGGAGTTGGTCCGCTAGAGAGAACAGTTTTTCGGGAGCGGCAAACTGTTCTCTCCAGCAGACCAACTCCCCTGGCATGCTATTTCTCTACTTGACCAATTTCTACTCTTTCCAGCCGCCTCCCGAAGCCTGGTAGAAGCTACGGCAAAATGTACTCTCCAGCAGACCAACTCCCCTGGCATGTTGTCTCTCCATTTGGCCAATTTCTACTCTTTCCAGTCGCCTCCCGAAGCCTGGTAGAGGCTACTCCCAGCCGCTTCCCGAAGCCTGGTAGAGGCTACTCCCAGCCGCTTCCCGAAGCCTGGTAGAGGCTACTCCCAGCCGCTTCCCGAAGCCTGGTAGAGGCTAGTTAATTAGCTGTTATTTTTCCGGACTGATTGAATGCCCAACGACGCGTGAAATTTGTGGATGGGAATTTTAATTTGGGCGCGCCCTGGGACCGAGATGGACACCGCCCTGGGACCGAGATTGGCACCGGTCAATCTGGAAGCAGAGACCGAAAAAATGTAAAATGTTTCATTTCCGACTGATTGCCGATCGGGTACAAGGGCGGTCAAATTCCATATAGTTTGACGTACGATTTTCATATTGTAGAATTTTCAAGGCTGCTTACTGAGGCAATGAACAAGACGAAGACACAAAGTTAGGACGCAAAAAATAAACGAACCTAAGCAACTCTACCTGGACATGAAACTATAAACCATGATATACGCAAAGATTTTGCAACAGGCCGAATGAGATAGAGGAGTTTCTTGCTCCGTTCTCACAATGAATTCACCACTATGGAAGTCAATCATGATGGTCAATATCAATCCAGAACCTGGTGTATCAAATACAGAGAATCTGATCACTTCTACCTGTAGATGAAAAATTGAATTAAAGACGATATGGAAACTTTATGAGTTTCCTGCATAAGAAAGAGAAGAGCTCGAGCATTTTCGACGGGTCATTCTGATAATCTTTCTTCGGCACTGAAACGACACGGGAAATCGATAGCAAGTTTGAAGGATTTTTATCCAAACAGCTGCCGGAATCTGAGCTCAGGAAACAGCCGTGAGCAACTGTTCACACTTATTCTCCAAAAACAACAAAAGATACAGCAGGAAAATACACAACCTCAAATGATTGTTTTACTTACATCACATCTGTTACACGTAATCATAATGATTAATGTCCCCTTGTTTATGCCATTAAATTTTCGTGTATTTTTGTGCCGCTAACATCAGCCTCTACCAAACATCGCGGATCGCTGGAAAAATAGTAGAAATTGGCCAAATAAAGGTAATAGTATACCAGGGGAGTTAGCCGACCAGAGAGGCTACATTTTGCTGGTATACTATCCCTTTATTTTGACCAATTTCTACTATTTTTCCAGCGATCCGCGGTGCCTGGTAGAGGCTAGCTAACATAAGCTCTAAGTTTCACCACGGCATAATCGTGTATACTAGTACTGTGCATCATGCCCTTTTTTTCGCACTTATTCTCGAAAAACAACAAAAAATACCGTAGGAAAATACACAACCTCAAACGATATCAACGCCACTGACTGATCTCCCAACTGAACTAGGCCGATGCCTATAAAAGGAGCTAGAAGAGACAGTTCGCCCTTGAGAACATGACCCGATACCGAGTGTAAACTGGCCAAGAGATGGGTCCACTGATTACACTGTAGCTGTGTGTTCAAACCGACACTGGAACGGGTTTACCAAGAACTCAACCAAACAACGGTTTCAAGAACTCTTTCACTGTTTCAGGATTTACAGGATTTAAAAACAACGGTGCAAAAAGCTCTATAGTAACTTTGTGGATGTTACAGGGTTAAAACTTGTCATAATCTAGCCAGATTATGACAAGATTAATCTAGCAGATATAATACCGGTGAGTTTGTGCATTCACGCTCATATGGGAACGGTTTCACTACGGAATTTGTCAAACCAATGAGCTTCTTTGTCAAACAAAGACTCTGTACTTCTTCTACTTCTTTCACAAAAGCAAATCTCCAGTTTTTTTTACGTTTTACAATGACAAATCTCCGTTTCTTTTTATTTTACATACAGTAAGAAATCTCCATTCCTTTTCATTTTACAATAACAACTTACTAAAAATGTATATAAATATAAAATGTAATATGTTTAAAATGATTGGTTGTGGAGTTAGCTAGACACACTTACAAACTCTGCTAAATGCTATCCTTTTCTGCTACTCCTCACGAATTCACGCCACAGATTTCAGTGAACTGTTGAACCCAATGATAGTAATGATGACCCGAGCATCATGATACGTACTTAAACACCGATATGTCTTATTGTATGACTGTAGACAGAAGGGCAGCAACAATGTTCGGACGCGTGCCCTAATCTCCAAACAGATCCCTTTCGGTGGCAAGAAGACAGTATCAAATTGGCCAGGCAGTATCCATTAGCCAGAGAAGGTCCGCGGC